AAAGAACAACTAAAAATAAATAGATTGAATTCTCTAATAAAAACACACCAAGTGACTGAGTGGATATTTTAAAAGATACAATACACTACTTACAAGAAATAACTTCAGCTCTAAGGGCATACATAGATGAAAAGAGAAGAAAGTGAATAAGATATTCCATGCAAATGGATTTCTAAAGAGCAGTAGTAGTCAAAACCATATCTGATAAAGTAGATTTTAAATCAAAAGCCAAAATAAAAAAAGAAGGTCATTGTATTATGATAAAGGGGTCAGGTCAACAAGAGCAAGTAGTGCTTGTAAATATATGAGCACCCCGTACTGAAGCACCCATATATCCAAATCAAACATTAACAGACTTTATTAAAGGGAGAAATAGAAAAATATGATAATAGTAATGAACTTCAAAATCCAACTTAAAATAATTAACAAGATCAGACAAAATACCAATAAAGAAACAGCAAAGCAAATCTGCACCCTAGATCAAGTGGATCTAAAACACATCTATAAGAGACTCTGTCCAATACTTGCAGGACAGAAATGTGTCCAAACGGCACATGGAACAACAGCACAAGGTAACAACTAAGCAAGTCTCAAAAAAATCTTCAAAAAGTAAAATCTTACCATACATCAACTCTGAGCACAATGCATTGAAATTGTAAACCAATTAAAAAAATGCAAAACACATATACATTAAAATTACTCAATACACTCCCAACCAACAAATCAGAGGTTAAGAAAGTTTGAAAATTTCATCAAATGATTGAAAATAGAAACACAACACATGAAAACCTACAGGATGTAGCAAGAACAATACTAACAGGCAAATTTAGAGCAGTCAACACTCACATCAGAAAGAGCCAGTCTTGCTAGCTCCTGTCTGTAGTCCCACCTATTTGGAAGATGGAGACAGGAAGATTTTTTCACCCTGTATTTCAAGTAGCAAGACCTATCTCAGAAAAAAAAAGTGCAGAAAGATCTCAAATGAATAACCTATCAAGGACAAAAAAAAACAATAACTAACTAAACATAATATTAGTAAAAATAGGAAAATAATAAAGGTCAGAGCAAAACTAAATAGGGACTAAAACACACAAAGCTCAACAAAGAACTAGCTCCTCAGAGCAATAAACCGGATGGACAAGCACTTAATAGTGTAGAGGACTATCTACAGAAATGGCAGGATTAAAGGAAATGAGACACCCTAAGGAAAGCAAGAGTGACATGCTATTTCCACCCCTAGACTATTGTGGAGAAAGGGAAGGAGCCATTACCAGAGAGAGTGTAGCTATGGGTACAGCTGTATTACTAGAAGGCGACAGGCAGGTGGAGAAGATCCACTGCCAACACACAGCCTCACAGCACAGAGCTAAGGGTTCGAAAACTCACACCCCTCTCCCCTGCCTTCCAGTGACCTAAAAGTATCACCCAGTAGCCCAATTCAACCAGAAACAAGAAGGAAAACGATGCCCTTACAGGGCTCTCAGAAGCCACCTGTTGGGAAGTCAAACAAGGCAGAGAAGAATGGAAAGAAAATTCTCCTGACACATGAGACTATCCTTCACATCTCCTTGTATCTTCCCATTCCAGGAGGGTTTGTCAAACTAAATATCAGTGAAACATTTCTCATCTTATCTGCATTAAAGTTATTTTCCCTGTTTGCATATGCTTTCTTTGTATAGATTTTATGAAGTAATCACCCACCTTGATCAAAAATACCTTCAAAATTGAACAGAAATTAAAATGAAAACACATTCCTTATTGCTTAAAGTCTAAGTGTGGCTATTGAAATGCAGAACAATGACAACAATGACCTTAAGAAGATATTTATGAGACCTCAGCTGGGGCTCTAATGGTATAAAACCAAAAACCTTCAAAATTGCTATTCCCAAATCCTGAAAGGGTATGATCATGCTTGCATTCCTACATGACTCTCAGCCATAGGAACATTCCATCTGAGGGAGGAGGAAGATGGGAATGGGAGGCTATGACACTTCTATTAACCCCATGACCCAGGAGTTGGTTACTCACTCTCCTTACCTCCCATGGGTCAGTGCCCAGCCACATGGTGCCATCAGCATCAAGAGAGGATGGGAAACAGGATACATTTTTGGACCTAAAATTCAGGGAATCAATGGTACAAAATAGAAGAATGGCTACTGGGGAATTCTAGCAGTCTCTACAGGCCCTTGTGGTCTGTCAGATCCTATGAAATTTTGAGTGAGCTCCTAAGAAAAAGGATTCATCAGACCAAGAACAGTGGTAAAGCCTCAAACAGGGATCCAGAACACCAGGGGCTGGTATTGGGTCTTCCCTTGAAGATATCTATTAGAGCCTCAATTTCTTTCTGTTAAGTGAAAATTTTAAAATTCCTTAAGGCTCTTCAGGAATGCATTCTAAATATCAGGATATAGTAATAAATAAAACCCTCATGACATAGTCCTTATAGAGCTTCATGTCTGATGAGGCAGAAAGATACATTGCACCCTAAAAACAGATGTAAAGACTGTGAAGGAACTGGAATAGAGACAGCAAAATTTCTACTTTGTCTTCCATTTTCCCTTAGAGTCAACCAAGGCTGTAGAGCTTGGCTTTCTAGAGGATCTCATATGGAGGCATTCACTTCTGGGTGCCCCTCTGCAGGCCTGGCATGTGTCCTCCTCATTCCACTTGAGAGCTTTCTGCTCTGGTGGGTCCTCTGGATTCCAAAGCAATGTCTGCCCTTTGGGGGCAGCTGCTATCTGTTCCTAAGTGACTTCCACCCACCTCTTTCATGTTGCCCTATTTGATTGGTATTTGGTATTTCTTCCCCTCTGTTTCTAAGGCTTGTTTATCTAGATTTTGTTTCATCCACAATTTTGATTGCCAGGTTGGATATAACCTAGGAATTACTCTTTGCTTTTCCCACATACACCTATAATCAACGCACAGTGGTGGTGGTCTAAAATGCTGGTCAAAAGGACAAAACCTCATGGGTTCAATTCCACCCTTGAGAGACCAGTGACTCTCATCCTGTTTGTTCTCTAATTCCATCTGCTATAAAATGGACAAAATATTATTTTTATCTCATAGATCTTGAAAGGATCCCAAGAGAAAATAGGGTAAATTCTGAAATTCTGTTCATTACAAAGATATGCATCGATCCCCTTTTTCTAGGTAAAATCTGTGTGAGCAACTTCTGTAAAACTTTAAACCCTGAACAGTTTCTATTTCCCCTCATAGATTCCTTTCACATAGAAATTTTATCAAAAATAATACTCTATGAGTGTACCTTTCCTCCCACATTCTCACCAACCTTTATTGTTGTTTGTATTCTTGATAATTGCCTTTCTGACTGGGGTGAGATGAAATATTAGAGTAGTTTTGATTTCCATTCTCTAATTGATAAAGACATTGAACATTTTTTCATATATTTGTTGACCAAAAGTGCACTCATACATTGCTGGTGAGAATGCAAATTGGTGCAACCATTATGGAAAGTGTTATGGAGATTCCTCAGAAAACTTGGAATGGAACCACCATTTCACCCAGCTAACCCACTTCTCAGTTTATACCCAAAGGACTTAAAATCAGCATATTACAGTGATGCAGTCACATCAATGTTTACAGGAGCTCAACTCACAATAGCTAAACTATTGAACCAACCTAGGTGCCCTTCAATAGAAGAATAGATTAAAAAGAATGTGTTATATATTCACAATGGAATATTACTCAGCCTTAAAGAAGAATGAAATGATGGCATTTGCTGGTAAATGGATGAAGCTGGAGAATATCATGCTAAACAAAATAAGCCAATCCAAAAAAAAAAAAGCCTAATGTTTTCTCTGATATGTAGATGCTAATTCACAATAAGGAAGGGCAGCTAGGGAAGAATAGATGATACAGAGGGGAATGAAGGGAAGTGAGAGGGTATAGGAGTAGGAAGGATAGTAGAATGAAACAGACATTACCTTATGTACATATATCACCACATGACCAATGTGATTCTATAACATGTGCAATCATAAAAATGAGAAATTATACTCCATTTATGTATGACATATCAAAGTGCATAAATGTATTCTACTGTCATGCATAATTAATTAGAACAAATTTTAAAATTTTTTAAAAAGAATACTAAAGATGTTCTGGAATAGAGAATTAAATAGGTTTAGATTAGAGATTCCCTAACACAACAGTAAGCAGTCCTTCATTCCTGCACTTCAAATACCTCATTTCAATGGAATTCAGACTTCACAATTACTTTGTACTTTATTTTCTATAAAGCAGAACAATTCTGATCATACACAAATCTCACCCCCACACTGTGCACCCAGTTGACTCTAGGTGCTTAACAAAGCTACACTGAAACCTCACTTCAAAGGAACATTGGTGGTAAAAAAAAAAAATCACTAATTTTGGAATACATAAGTACTTCTAAATAAACCCAGAGGTGCCAAAAAAAGAATGATGATGAATAAAATTATCTTATCTCATTTCACATGTATATTCTGATACTTTTGTGGTATTTTCATCTTTATTTTCCACTTAAGCAGAACCGTCTAAGATCACAAGATGCCTCCCTCGTGGGTTCATTCATTGAATAAGTGTTGAGCACACATGGGCCACACAATGGTAGGCACCTGTCTTCAAGGCCTCACACACAGAGCTACTTCTAGGCCCAGCCATCCCCAGACCTGCCTCTTCCTGGCTCTAAAAGGACTTCTTTGGAAGGACCCATTTTAGTCCTGGGGATGTCATCATCACTTCTGCATCTGTCTCAGTTCTTCTTCTTGAGAGAAAACGTCTGGCCCAGATCAGTATAGAGATGGTTCATTGTCTAGCCCGTTAAGTGGGAGTGTTTGAACTGCAATGTGTTTCCATGTCACTTGGAAGTCTTGAGGTTCAGGTCTGGGAGCTCAGGGTGTTCAGACAATGGGTACTGAGTTGAATTCAAATTTGAATTCTGGGCATCTCTAAATCTTGGTAGGAAACTTCAGCTCTATAATCCTGTTTTCCTCCTCTTTAAAATGGGGATAGTAATTTTCACATAGCAGGATGATCCTGAGAATCAAAGGTCATGTGGCATGTGCTGATCTTGTTTCTGTTCCCAGGGCCACCAGAGAAGAGTTTGGGAGCCTATATCCAACTATCCCATCCTGGAGGACAGAAGCCACACCAATCAACGGAAATTACCAGGACCTTCCTCTCACTTGTGACATACAGAATGTGGTCCCTCACTTGCTAGCCCTCATCATTGCCCTGGTCGGACTTGCAGGAAATGGAGTTGTGCTCTGGCTCCTGGGCTTCCGCATGCACAGGAACCCCTTCTCCGTCTACCTCCTAAACCTGGCTGCTGCCGACTCGCTCTTCCTCTGCTGCCACTCCACTGGGTCCCTGGTGATGCTCAGCATCTTCCCTCACACCCCTCCCCTTATGTATGACATCATAGAGAATGTGAAAGTCATTTCCTACATCACAGGACTGGGCTTGCTCAGCACCATCAGCACAGAGCGCTCCCTGTCTGTCCTGTGGCCCATCTGGTATCGCTGCCACCGCCCCAAACATACATCAGCTGTCATGTGTGCCCTGCTCTGGACAATTTCTGTGCTGCTGGACATCCCGAAATGGTGCTTCTGTTCACCAGAAAATGACAATTTTGAACACGATAGGTGTAAAAAAGTTAAGTTTTTCATAGCTGTATGGCTTATGTTTTCATTTCTGATTATCTCAGGGTCCAGCCTGGCCCTGCTGAGCAGGATCTGTGGCTCCAGGCAGATGAGGCTCACCAGGCTGTATGTGACTATCCTGCTCTCAGTGCTGGTCTTCCTCCTCTGTGGCCTGCCTTTTGGCATCTTCCAGTTCCTGATACTCTGGATTGAGAATAATATCGGTGCTCTGTCCTGTCTTTATGTGGTTATAGTTGTCCTGTCCTCTGTTAACAGCTGTGCCAACCCCGTCATTTACTTCTTTGTAGGCTCCTTTAGACAGCAGCTGCAGAGGCGGCAGACCTTCAGGTTGGTTCTCCAGAGGGCTCTGCAGGACACATCTGAGGAGCATGAACGTGGCAACAGCAATCTTCAGAGAAGACTGGGGATGTTGGGAAAGAGGGGAAAAGTGATGAGAAGCCCCTGCCCTGCTCCATCAAGCGTACCTATGAAAGTCAACCCTGCCCTGCCAACTTGACAGTTATCTGCTCTTCTCTCAGCTTCAACTCCCTAAAATGCCTCAGCAATTCCCCCAATGCCTTCAAATGGATATATTTTAACTATATTTTCTTACTTAGAGTGATCAGTCTGTAATAAGAATGTCTCCATTCTTTTTGACATTTTCAATAACTTTCTCACCTTTTTTTTCCTCTAAATCTTTTTATTTCTGATTTTCCTTGAACATTTCATTCTGATGGGAAAAATAATCATTGTTTAGAATTATAACTCTCTTATTTATGACTGCTTTCTACTTGAAGTTGTAGAAAAAAAATCATTTCTATATATCTCTCAGAGTACATTCTGAGGGAATCGTGTTGGGTTCTGTGTGAGAGCATTGCTTCAGGAAGAAATTTTGGATCTGAATAAGTGAATTCTCATACCTATAAGACTCATTGAAATCCTAAGATATTTAGGAGTACAGAACTGGGAATGATAGATCAGAAAAAGCCCTGGACGTGTGAATTCTCAAGCTGATTCTATCACTAAACTGGGTCACGTTCCCCATGGGCAACCCAAGAAGGTAGTGAGGTTATTGAATTTCCAAATCTGAATCTTACACCATTTGTGATTTGAAATTTGTTTTCAGAAGAAGACAGTGGATTTGACTTCATCATACACTGAAGGCAACCACCAGCAGCCTCAGAAGTTCATGTCTTTTCAATATGACTGATTATATTGAACACATACTTTTCCCACCCATGAGGCAGCTCCCTGGACTTAAGACATAGTGCAGTATGTATTGGGCCCAGATATTGTCAATACACCAATGCTGGCTGTAAAAATAGATTTTTGGCTTTTCTCCAGGATATTAATGTAAAGTATAGAAGAAGAGCTCTCCTTGTACATGCTGGTCATACCGATATAGTTGGTATAAATATTTTACAGATGCAAACACACAGACAGGGATCAGAGTGCAAGGAGATCTCATTAGTGTGTACAAGGTATCCAGTAGTTAGGGAAGACTTCTTGAAATATCTAGAAATAGAATTATGTGTGTACATTTCACCAGACTTTTGCCTCTGCCACTTATTTTTGAAATTGCCAAGAAAAGAAAAATAACATCTGGAGGAAATGAGAAAAGAGGCAATTTATAGTGATATTATTAATTAAAGCATGGAAGTAGCTCTGGGAATGCTATTCAGCAGGTAAACAAGTTTCAGTGGTAAAAAGTTTTTCCTGTGACACCACAGTATGTAGTTGTGGTTGCAAGGGCCCTCTTAAGAAGGATCTTAAGGCTGGATCACTGTGAGCCATGATCAATGACGGTGTGGCCTTGAGTGATAGGGTTTGACATAAGTTTTGCAAACTTATTTGGAGTCCACTGTATAAGTGGAAGTCCAGAAATGAGCATCTGGGTCACCACAAAAACTTTCTCGCTGGAATTTATTCCCAGGAATACGTCCAATCCAAAGATTCACACTCCAAAGACACAAACAATAGAGAGGTGAAACAAGAAGTATAATTTGTAGGAGTGAAGAGAGAAACAGTAGAAGGTACTCACTTCTCTGGATCAGTTGTTTTGCCTTCAAATGATTGAAAAGTGGGTACAGGGGGATATTGTGTATTTAAATCAGTTCAACATTTTATTACTTTATAAAAGAAAATCAACTCAACATATTTTTATAAGCTCAGATATCTGCGATGGCTTAACCATTGATAACCAGTTATCGGAAACCCCATATTCAAAGAATTCAAGAAACTTTCTTTGAAGTGCAGCATACTGCGATTTACAATAAACTTCTGCTTTAATGTGCTGTTTCACATGGGACAAAATAATGCATATAAGCTCCAGAACTTCTGAAGAGTAATCAGAGATTTTAGGTATATCTGCAAAATTCTATTGATTCATTTTTAAAGAGCAATCAGAAAAAAATGTGATAAAATTTTAACGTATGTTTCATTTTATCAAAGTCCTACTTGCCAAAGCCTTGGCAATCACTGTTCATGTCTATAATTTTGTCAGTAGTGGATGTGTAAATGTTTATGATATAGTCATGCATTACTTTAAGATGGGGACATGTTATAAGGAAAGAATCCTTAGGCAATTTCATCATTGTGCAAACACCATGGTGTACTTACATGAAGCTATATGGTATAACCTACTGCTCACCCAGCCTGTGTGGTGTATGTATTTACACACACACACATATATGAACATACATGTAATATACACACATACACTATAGCCTACTATTGTTGGGTTACTATGAGAAAATAGTATAACATTGCATCAAACACATGAAAAAATGCTATAATCAAGGAGTTGTATTAACATGAGATGTGTGTGGTTCCTGCCACATAATGTGGTATTCAGTTTTATGTTTTTCTTATGAGTAGGAGTATACTCTTAATTATCCATTAAAGTATACTATAAATAAATACATAATCCAGTAATATAGTCTCTTATTACCATCACCAGATTTTACATATTGTACATAATTGTATGTGCTTTCTTATATGCCAGTGGCAGTGCAGTAGTTACATTTGCACTGGCCTCACCACAAACACATGAGCAATGCAATATTATACAAGGTGGAAATGGCTACAGCATCACTAGGTGAAAAGAAATTTTTGTCTCCATTACAATCTTGAGAGGCCACTGTCCTATATATGGTTTGTTATTGATGGAAACATCATTATATGTACATGACTGTATACACTCTTGCCTGTTTATCTGGTTCACAGAGTTCTGTCTGGCATACCGGCCGTCCTCATTCTGATTGACCTCAATATCCCTGGAGGTGGTCTAGTCCACAAACTGAACTTCCAGGAACTGTTTTTTAACCTTTTTATTCTGAGTTAATTACAAGACTAACCAGAGTTACAAAGCTAGTACATAGAGTTCTGTGTTCCCATCACCCAGCCTACACCAATAGTAAATATATTATAGAAATGTAGTATATTGTCAAAATCAGGAGCTTGACCTTGGTTTAATACAATTACCTGTGCTATAGATGTCACCTGAATTTCACCAGTTTTGGATGGATTTCATTTTTATTGGGGGGAGGATTTGCTTTTTTCTACCACATTTTGTCATGGGTAGAGACACACATAATCAACTTCACACCAATATACACACTCTTTACCACATGAAAACCGCTTTGTGTTTCCCCTAATAATCAAAGTTCTACTAGCCAAAGCTTTGACAATCACTGTTCATACCTATAATTTTGTCATTTCAAAGTGTTAAATAAATAGCACCATACAGTATCTAAGTTTTATATATATATATATATATATATATACTTTTAGTTGTAGGTGGACACAATACCTTTATTTTGTTTTAATGTGGTGCTGAGGATCCAACCCAGGGTCTCATGCATACTAGGCAGTTGCTCTACCACTGAGCTACAATCCCAACCCAGTATCTAAGCTTTTAACTGAGATTTTTTAGTCAGTGAAATATCCTCAAGATCCATGCAAACCATTGCATAAATCAACATTTTGTTATTATTGTTGTCTTAATGCAGAAGTGTTTGTTTTATGGATGTACTATGTCTTGTTTCACTGTTCACAAGTTGAAGGATGTTTAGTTTATTTGCAGTTTTCTATTATAAACAATGCCTCTATAAATACTTTTGGGCAGATTGTCAAGAAAACATGGTTTCCATCCTCTAGGATAAATTTCTGGGGTGAAATTCAAGAAGATTTAATAGTATATATTTAACTTTTTCAAAAATGCAAAGGTGTTTTACAGAGTGGCTATATCATTTTACTTTTTCTCTAGTGATATACAAAAAAAAATTCACTTTCTCCAAATCCTGTTCAATATTTGAAACTCTGAGTAGTAATAATTTAGTCATTCTATGAGGTGAGTAGTGATATCTTATGTGGGTTTCTTCTCAGGGAACTCTCCTTGTTATGTAGATGGAGTCTTCTCCTGATGTTTCACATGGACTTCCCTCTGTGTCTCAGAGTGTTAATCACATTTTATATCAATACACCATTCATGTTGGATTAAAACATTCCAATTACCTCATTTTAACTTAATTAGCTAATTAAACACTTTATCTATGATTACAATTATACTCTGAGACACAGCGGATTAGGACTTTACCATCTGAGTACAGCACAGACACAATTTAGCCCATGATTAGGTACTTCTCAATTATTTGCAAAGTGAATCACTAAGGAACTTTTCTTAATGTTTCAAAATAATTTTTATTCAGATGACACTACTAAAAAAGTAATAAGTAGCATAACTTGTAGAATAAGTCACAAAAAGGGAAACCATAGGCAATAAGGCAATATTTTTAAGGTCTACTCTAAGTGAATATAAATAGTAAATATTATGAAGTAAATAGAAGAAAAAATGTGTGTGTTGAACTCTTCAGATTTCATAAGGGAATTCATTTGACCCAATTCTTCATACTGATAAATTAAAAATATAAATACAAGTTTACTATTCAAAACAAATAATAATAGAAGTGAGAATGGAAAGGGTAGAAAGTGGCAGTCTCTGGAACATGGGGTGCAGGGAAACATTGAACTTGCATACACTTCTCTGTCATTTGGAACAAAATTTGTACACATAAATGTATTACTGCTGTGACAAAGAAAATTAATAACAATAAGTAGGGTCATGCCAAGATGATTCTTAAATGATCCTATAAAATTCATAATTGTTTAGTTATAAAGCCCCACAATGTAAGCTCAGATTGTTTGACATTACCACCCAAGCTTGTAGTTGGCAATTAAACACAGAATAGTAATTACTTACAGGGAGGTAGACAATGTTTGAAACAGGAGAGGATGGTATGAGGGTGGAAAGGGGAAAGAGCCCTAGAAACATCTTGCAGGAATCTCATGAGAACAAAGAAATGTACTCTTCTGTCACTCAATGCAAGAAAGCGTCTTGCCCTTGAGAACTTCTGCACAGGTGAATGGAGACAGGTGAGATTCATTCCAAGTCCTGTCTTATTCCTGAAGTTTGTGCAGGTGTTGTGGTCTAAAGTCATATCCCTATTTTTCCACTTAGGTGCACTGCATGCAGCGGGTAATGGAGCTTTCTTGAGGGAAAGACATGAGATGTAGATGTTATCTACCATGGGAGATCCAAATGGAGTCAAAAAGACATCGTTCTTTCTGATCATGCTCCTCATATACTCCACGTATTCCAATTATTAAAATCACTTTAACAGTGACAGTAATGCCCTACATTCATTTGAGGAGCAGGTGATGTACAGGCATTGCTTTCCAGAGCTGAGTTGCTGAAAATCCAGATTTCAATGTT